TCCCGGCTGCTGGTCCCTCTGCTCGCAGGGCAGGAGTGGGTGCCAGCCCATTGCTGCTGCCTCCTCTCCCTCCTTAGAAGCTCCTCCCGACACTGGCTTCAGCCCTCGTTACAGGCACTCAGCGGCCCATGTTGCTGAGAGTCCTGTGCATGGCCTCTCAAGGCTCTGCTCTTGCAGCACAGTCGTCAGCACGGCGGTGCTGGGCTGCTCTGCGTCGGCCGCTCTGCTCCGTGGGCAGCACAACACACTGGCCGTGGCCAGGCAGCGCTGTGCTCTGAGCTGTCCTGCTGACCCCGGACCACTACCAGGGCTGGCCCAGCTAGTTTAGGCACCTCTGCAGTGCTGGTAGCTGGTGGCTTCCCCCAGAGGTGCATTACCTGCATTTGTCTGTGCATTTGTCTCTGGGCTTCCCCCAGAGGTGCATTACCGGCATTTGTCATCCAGGCTGTGGATTCCCTGCCCACGGCGATGCCTTCTGCTGAGCTGGAGCCTGTGCTGCTGTTACGGTCATGAAGAGAGCACCAGGGCACTCCTGGTGTCCCGAGCACGACTGCCCTGACCACCTGCATCTCTCTGCATGTTGCCACCAAGCAGCCCTGCAGGCAGAGACCAGCTTGGGGCAGCTGGTGACCACAGCACACAGACCTCTGCGGTGAATCAGCCCTGACCTTCTCCTGCACGTGCAGCCTCCAAACAGCCCCACCTCCCTCGCAGGCACCAAGAGGCTTAAACCGTGGTGTGTCCTGTGGACATGCCGGCGTCTTACCCCAACCCTGCTCCTTGCTTCCAACCTCCGAGGCTCTTCTGGAGGCATGAAAAAGCTTTTTCTTTTTCACCCTGGAGCAACTTTCCTCTTTCCAGCCTCTTTCTAAGGAACTGCCAAAGGCTTTTGGAGAGGGACATGCGCTCTGCTCCACCCCACATCACGCAGATGCTCCAAGGCTGCTCCTTGACCCAGGGAGCCGGGAGCTGCTGGGCACCGTGCACGGAGCTCCTGGAGCCGTCGAAGGAGCTCATCCTTCAGCCACCAGCATGAGACAAGCCAGCACACATCCCTTGGTGCCACCTGCCCTCTCAAGACCTCCTTGCGCCCAGCAGGACAGAAC